TGCTCAACCGGCAGCGGCTCCTGGCTTGGCAGTGAGCAATGCTCCCAGCTGCCCCAGCAGCAAACCCCGGGAGCTCTCGGTGGTGAGGTATTACCATGAATAAGCATTTCTTCAGGAAGCATTCTTGAAATGCCGGGTCTGGCCGTGCGGTGCTGCCTGGGACTGCCAGCGGGAGGGATATGACCTACAGATGTCTGAGTTTTCTTTTTCCTCCTGCATCTCAGTGATTCCCTGCTGCTGTAACCTTTACTGGTGCACACTGGAAAGAGGCTGTGCTGTCAGTCTTTGGCATCTAAACGGGGGGGAACTGCCTCCTTGGTGTGCTGGGGAGCCCCCTCCCCATCAGCAGGCCCCTGCATCTCCGGGGGGAGGCAGGAACCTTTGAGCCCAGGGCTGTACCCTGCACCCTCCTGACGGGAGAGGCACAGGAGCCCCGGGGAGCTCCCCTCGCCTGGCCGGCAGTGCCGGGGACCCCGGAGAAAAGGGGGAGCCGGTGCACAGAGGGAGCAGGAGCCTGGTTCACCCAGGGTGCAGGAATTCCAGGAATGCGGCCGCCCTGGGGCACTGCCTGGGTGGGGCTGCTCAGGCAGAGGAGCTCGGTTTCGATTAGTAGCCCGGGATCTGCTGGCCCTTTCATCAGGCTGTCTCTGGCCCATTAGCTCTCTCATCCTGCAGATAACCCTGGCCAAACGCTGAGTTCCTTCCCCCCCTCCCTCTGCCTTTGGCTTTTAAAGCCACAGATTAGTCTTGGAATTGAGTGATCAAATTGAGGTTTCCAAGCTAGTGTGGCTGTTGCTGTTAGTGACGGATTGGGCTGTATCCTGGAGACCTAGGCGATAATGCAATCTGATTTTTTGTAAATGAACTCTCCGGGGGATTTAGATTAAATCACTGGTGGAAAATCACTGGTCCCTGCTTGCGGGGAATGAAATACCTCCTCCCTCCGTTCCCCACCCCCAACCATCACGATTCAGACTTCCAATTTTTTTGTGTCTGTCTCAAAATTAATTGTTTGGAGCAAATATTTGTTCAACAGATTGCGGAAGGGTCAGGACTCCTCTTTATCTGACCCGCCCGCCCGCTTTGGCTTTGAAGATTGCCTTTAGCCGCGTTTCCCACCCCGGGTGAACAGCCTTGCTCCCTCCTAACCTTGAACAGCGCTTCTAACTTCCCTGCTCGGGCTGTGCCGGCGGCCGAAGGGGAGCGGGGCGGGTTGGGAAAGGCTGTAGTAGGGGGGATCCTCCCCACCAGCCCCCGAAAAGAAAGGGCTGGGCGGTGTGGCTGGGGGCCGGCCTGTGGCACACCCCGACCCTGTGCTGGTTTGATGTCTCGGCCGTAGCTTTCCTCCGGGTTTCACCGGGTCCCTTCTCGGTGGGGGAAGCCATGAAGGGACGGCACGGTGCAGCGGGGGCCATTGGAGCAGGCGTGGGACGTGCGTGGGGGATGCTCAGCTTCGCTCTCGCCCGGCTCCAGCTGCAGGGAGAAAACCGCTGGGCTGCTGCCAGCTCTGCCTGCAGGAGAGTGCCACCCTGCCCAGGGGAGCCCCGTTGGGTGCCTCGGAGCTGTTAGAGCCTGTCCCACGCCAACAAAAGCTCTCCTGCGAGGTGCAGCAGGCAGGTCCCGGGGAGAGGGATGCAAGTCGTGGCAGGCCTGCTTGGGAGGGACCGGGTGGTTCGTGCTGGGGAGCGCTGCAGCACTCCTCTTCCTGGAAAGCCCCCCTGAAAGAGGGAAGGAGCGTGGCACAGCCTGCTTCCCTAGGAAGCTCTGTTTCATTCCCCACCCGTGGAACAAAGGCGAGCGTAGGATGGCTGCGGGGTGCGGGTTGCCTTTGGAGGGGCCTGTTAAGGCTGCTGTGTGCTGGGCTGTAGCAGTTCTCTTGAGAAACCATTCTTTGAGGCAGAGGGGAAATGGTGAATCTCTCTGTGTAGCGGTAACGTGGGTGTATTTTGTCACGTTGGCTGGCTCTGCCGTGGTTTGCCCTCCTCTCTGCAATCTGGCACCGAGAAAACAAACAAACGAGAACAACCCAAGGGGCGCATTTAATAACCAGCCAGAAGAGAGCTGCTGCGTCGGGGAGCCATCAAAAAACAAAGAGGAGGCTTTCCTGGGGCAGTTGCTCTGGCCACGGCCAGATTCCCAGAGCTGGGAAGTTCCAGCAATGATCCCGGTGGGGATCAGGAGTCACGAGGGGGGAGAGATCTGGTGAGTGGGAAACGCAGGAGTGAGCAGGAGAGAGCCTGGCAGGCAGAGACGTACTGACCGTGCTTAATCTGTTTGAGAAAGGCAAGTGAGCAGTGGTTCCTGCCTGGCTGCGACCCTCCCGTCAGTGACAGCTTTCCCTTCGAGGCTAAATCTGCGTTGGGAGTGGGACTGAAAGAGGGTTCGGGGGGCGCTTGGAGGTCGATCTGTGGACCCAGAGGCAAGAGATTTCCTGTTTGCAGGGTGTTATGGTGGGGACCAGCATGAAGGGGCTGTGTCAGGCCAGGACTGAAAGCAACCAGCGTCTTTGTCACCAGTTTGTGACGTCTGAATCCCAACAAACCGGGCTGGGCCGAAGGAGGACGGACTGGCTCTGCGCGTCCCAGGCTCTCGGCCCCGCGGGGCTCGGTGTGCCGGGATGTACGTGCTGTGGTGTTCTGCGGTGGACTGGAAGCTTGTGGTTCTGGCTGGGGAAAACCCTTAGAAGATGTCAATGTAGGGAACTCATTTTCTATCTGTTTGATTTTTTTTTTTTTTTCTTTTTCTTGAATGATAGGAAGTGACTCAGCTCGCGTTACAGACAGCGCAGCTGGGATTTCGTCCTGCGCTCTCGCTCCAGCCTTCTCAATGGTTTCAGGCCGAGAGCTGGGCTTCAGTTCTCAGCTCTTCAGAAAGGCTTGTTGGTCTTGTGCCATGGCCCAGGTGACCCCCACAAGCCTCCCCT